CGGAAAATGGACTTCCGCTTTCCCTTGCACTTCCCCAGGTGAGGCATGCTCCTGCTTCAGCTCTCGCTGGTCGGGGGGGGGGGGGGCGTGGGCAGCAGCTGACCGCGATCCGAGTCGGTGGGCGCACTCCCGTAGGTGAGATGACCCAGTACCTCAGTTGGAAAAGTAAAACAGAAATCATCAGTCTTCTGTGTCGCTCGCGCTGGGAGTTGGAGACTGGAGCTGTTCCTATTCGGCCATCTTGCTCCGCCCCCCCAAGGTTAAGTCTTAATACCACCAGTTACCTGCTGTAACTGAACAAGACAACCTCTCTCTGTGCCTTAAGCATTATTCCTCTATAAACTGGGGACAATAATAGACTCTACTCCATAGAGTTATTGTGATAATTTCATGAGAGAGTGTATCAGAAGCATGAAATACAGTGCAAGTCACAGTGTAAATAAATCTTGTAAAATTTTATTCATTCATTAATGCTTACTATGTGCCAAGAACTACTACAGACACTAGTAATAGATTGGGGAAGAAGAAAGTCCCTGTTACTGTGCTGCTTATATTCTAAAATGAAAAAGTAAATACATAAATGAACAAAAATTAGGTAAGGATGATTGCTGTAAAGAAAAATTAAGCAGAATGAATAGTAGTGATGGGGAAAGTACTTCAGGAAGAAGAGTAAGAGGTTTTATCGAGGACGTATCATTTTAACTGAGATCTGAATGACAAGAAGAACCAACTGTGTGAATATCTGTATCTGTAGCTTGGAAACAAGAATGAACAAAAGTCTATGGCTTGGTAAGAGATGGGGAGAATGGCAGAAAGTGTCGTCAGAGAGGGGAGTCAGGGCTGAACATATAAATCCTATGGGCAATTGTATTTCATTCTAAGTATAAAGACAATTCAATGCAAACACTAACTGTGTGAAGAATGAACTCTGGGTTGGATGTAAAACTAGAAGTGACAGCTAGAGAAAAAAAATGCTTGATGGAAGAAAAAGAATAGAAAGTAATAGCTGATCCCTGAAGAAAGCATAAGGTGAGACAGGCAAAAAGACCAAAAGTGAGCCAGTTGAGGGAATCCATGGGTATAGTGCAGAGTAATGGGGACCTTCCAGTGTCTCCTCATTGCCTCCTGGTTATGAAGGAGTAGTTTGGCTCTGACAAACATTGAGAACAACTATAACAATCGCATCAAAAATGAAATCAGATGTTTGAAGGTAATGGGGAGTAACCATAACTTGAAGAGCCACAGAGAAGGAAAATACATCAAAGTGGATCCTAAATTGGTGCTTTCTTCACTCAGGACATTTTCTGACCTCAGTACAGAGCAAAAGGGCAAAACAGAAAGCAGTGGCCTAGATCTCACAGCAGTTTCACTGGGATGGAAGACAAAAAATTAATTAAATGCAGCCAAAAATTGAGGAGCCAATATCCCCCCGCAAAACACACACACACACACACACACACACACACACACAGAAAAAGTGAGCTCAACATTCTGCATGCAATTCCTCATAATGCATTTGCCAAATTCTCAGCTGCACATACACGTTGCAGAGGCCGAGGAGCCAAGCAAACATAGCTAATAACCTCCTCTAGGAGGTGGAGCTAATTTGCCTCTCCTTGAGTGTGAGCTGGACTTAATGGCTCAACCTCCAAAAGAACAGAATATGGGAATAGAAAAAATGTAACTTTGTTTATAGTAGAGAAACCTGGCAAACATACTACCTAAACCAAATGATCAAGTTTATCATCAATAGTGATAAGTTATGTTGATGTCAAGAATCCCCACAATATCACTTCATCTCTGTGATACTCTTCCAAAAACTCATAACCTCAGTCTAGTCAAAAGAAAATCATCAGACAAAACCAAATTCAAAATTGAGTGTCATTCTATGAAATACCTGACCAGCACTCTTCAAAACTCTGAAGGTCACGAAAAACAAGGAAAGACTGATAATCTGTCACCATTTTTAGGAAACCAAAGAGAAACAATGACTAAATGTAATGTGGTACCCTGCCTTTATTTGATCTTAAGACAGTAAGAAAAACAATAAGAAAAAAACTGTCCCAATATCGATTTTTTAATTTTGGCTAATGTACCACATTATATAAGATGTTAACATTAGGAGAAATTGGGTGAAGGATATATAAGAACTTTTCTGTACATCTAAAAATAAAACAAAATGAATGACAGTGATGGGAGGGATATTTCAGGGAGGAAGGTCAGAGACAGCTTCATTACAAGACATAATAAACATATTTTTTAAAAAGCAACTTCTAAGGATTGAAAAGCTTAGCAATGATTTTGGCAGTCTCACAGAGTTGAGGGAACAGAAATCGGAAGTCAGGGCCCACCAAAGAGAAAGGCAGAGAATTGGCTTTCAATTAAGACCCTAATAGGCTATGCTCATGGAATAAGGTAAATCAGAAAGAGACATCCTCAGGAAGCCTGAAACACAACTTAAAATCATCTTAATCCATGATTAAATCAAGGTGATCTGTCCATACTCTCTCTGCCAACCAAAAGGAAATTTAATCTTTCCCAGAAGATGACATGATCCAGTGTCACTATAATTTTTCATATACAATGTAAGGCAGTCACTCAAAAAATACCAACTATATCAGTAAACAGATACAAATGAACAAAATCTATGATAAAAAATCAAGCGATAGAAACATACCAATAGATGACCCATATTTTAGAATTACCAGACAGGAAATTTAATCAGGATTAATGCACTCCAAAAAATTGGTAAAAAGATGAGGAATGTCACCAGAGAACAAGAATCCATTTTAAAGAGAAAAGAAAAGAAGAAGCAAGTGGTAACACTAGAGCTGGAAATTAAAACAATTGAAATTAATATTTAATTAATTTAATAATTAAAATTAATTTAACAAGTGTAAAATCAGATCAAACACAGCAAAAGAGAAGATTGGTAGAAAAAGTAGAGAAGATCGAGATTGGTGCAGAGAGAAGAAAAGAGAATAAAAAATGCAGAAAAGTGCATTAACAGCATACGAGACACAAGGAAAAAGCCTAACATATGTGCAATTGGAGTTCTAAGTGGAGAGGAGAGAATAAAGAAAAAGCAATAATGAAATGATGATTAGTGATGAAATACATCAAGGCACAAATTCAAAAAAGCTCTATAAGCCCCAAGTAAGATTTTGTGAAGAAAATCAAACGTAGGTATAGCACATAAAACTCATAAAAACCAAAGACATAAAAATCCTTAAAACCACCAGGGGGAAAAAATGAATAATTATCTTAAAAGGATCAAAAATAAGACTTACTGCTGACTTTTCAAAGATACGATGTCAGCCAGAAAACAATGGGATAACATTATTCAACAGTATACTTCTAAATACCTCTAAAATGAAAGAATACAGCAGAGTGGATACCAGAAAATATTTTGAACTGAATAATATTGAAAATATATCTTATCACAATTTGTGGAATGCAGCTGAAACAAAGGTCAGAAAAAAATATATATGAAAATAAGGAAGGTTGAAACTTAATTATCTAAACATCCATCTCAAGAAGTCAGAAAAAGATAACCAAATTAAACCCCCAAAAAATGCATAAGTTGAGAGCAAAATAAATGGAATAGAAAACAAATTTATAATATAGAAAAGAATTTCTAAGTTGGTTACATGAAGTGACCAATACAATGGCTAATGACCTAGAAAAAGATAATCAATAAAAAAGGAAAAGTACACATTACCAATATAACAAAAAAGAATACATCACTGCAGATTCTGTAGACTAACAAAATAGGAGGATTATAAAAAATTTTATACAAATGTAAATTTTAAATAAAATGGACAAATGCCTACAAAAATACAACTTACTAAAACCAATACATGAACAAGTACAATCAGAATAGTTCTATATATATTAAATAAATTGAACCTTAAAATATAAACCCTCCACTAAGAAATTTCCAGATGGCTTCACCAATGAACACTCCCAAACATTGAAAGAAGAAATAGCACAACTTTGCGTGGATGTTTGTAAAGAATAGAAAAGAAAAAACATTCACAACTTGAGGATGCCACCATAATCTTTATACCAACACCTGAAAAAGACATTTTTAAAAAACGAAAGTTACAGGTCAATCCCCCCTCAAGAACAAAGATTATTTACTCCATTTAGTCATAAGCAAGCAAAATGAAAGTAACAGAAATCAGAATAATATTAATAGATATCTTTGGCAGATAATGACCGGGAGGAGATAAGAGGCAGGCCTCTAGAGTCCTCATAATGTTCTATGTGAGTGCTCATTTTGTAAATAATTTATCAAAATGTATGTATTTATGTGTATTTCAATATTAAAGGGTTTTTAAATATGCAGTACAGGAATCTCCTTTATCACCTCCTTCCTTCCAATGACACTGATTATGCTTTTCTTGTGCTACCATTTTCCAAAGTTCCTAACACACAGACAGTACTTAATAAATATTTATTTTAAAATGAATGAACAAATCTTTATTTAGACATGCAAAACTTCAGCACAGTGTCAGACACACAACCAGTGTTCAAGATATATGTGTTTTTTAAATAAATGAACAAGGCTTTGAGTGAATGAACAAACTCAGTAAAAGTGTGTCCTGTGTCAAGCCTTCTTAATCACAAAAGTCTTTGTGGACACAGTAGGAGATGAGAGACCCAACGAGAAAAATCTGACTGGGCCGGATGCAATGGCTCACACCGAAATCCCAACACTTCGGGAGGCCAAGGCAGGCAGATCACCTGAGGTCAGGAATTCGAGACTAGCCTGGCCAACATGTTGAAATCCCATCTCTACTAAAAATACAAAATTAGCCAGGCAAGGCGGTGCACATCTATAATCCCAGCTACTTGGAGGCAGGAGAATCGCCTGAACCTTGTAGGTGGAGGTTGCAGTGAGCAGAGACCACGCCACTGCACTCCAGCCTGGGAAACAAGAGCGAAATTCCATCTCAGAAAAAAAAAAAGAGAGAAAGAAAGAAAAACTAACTGAATAAAGATGAAATAACATGTAAGGGCAGATAAGAAGAAAGTAGAAAAAAGAGGCAGAGATAGTTTGAGAGAAAGATGGAAATGAAGCACAGGGAGATCGCTAAAAGTCTCTTACGAACAGTAGGCTGTTAGAGCACCAAGTACAAGTATAGGCTTGACTACAAAAGAAAACTGGGGAGTCTCTGGTCTCTGAGCAGGTCAGCTTTGATATGAAGCATTTTTCATCACAGATCGTACCTCCTCTTCTTTTATTTTAGGTCTCACAGAAAAAAAGGTAGGGAACCATGACCTGAAAGATTAAGAGTCCTCCAATCTAGATTCAGTTTTGTTGTGATATCTTAAGCCAGTCATTCCCCTTTCCTGGACCCTGAGTAGCTAGTAAAATGGGAGGAAAGGTCTCTTCGTATTTTATGTATCTATTCTTTACAACTAAAATTCTTCTGGTGTCACTGAGATCTCCTAAGTAGTTCTGGGGTCCCTTCTTTAAAGCATAAAGAACAGATAATTGCTTTGCAAAAAAAAAAGTAACAAGAGCACTCTGGATTAGGATTAGAAACAGCTGGCAGCAAGCCTCTAATTCTTTGGAGAAAAGACTCTTCCACAGTACCATTTTCAGGCCTTTATTCATCATACTACAACACAATTAGGTAAGCTGCTCAGTTGTTCAAATATCTCTCTTTGCAAAGTATCACTCAGGTCTATCAAAGCAGTGTTGAAACATACAGCACTCTCCTCTGTGAATGTCATTATGGACAGAGGCTTGGCATTATATTAATTACATTAGCTGGCTCAGGACAACATAATCTCACCTGATTAACAATATTCCTTACTCTCTTTCTCCTGTATTTGTGTCCTCTGCCTGAATTTTTTTGTTCTTTTGTTTATTCACTCATTTATCCTTGCAATAAATATTTACTGAGCCCCTCGTATGTGCCAGACACTATATTATTTAGTATCTGATACCGATATGTGATATATATCAGTATATGTCAGTAACAAAAACAGGTAAAGTCTCTTCCCTCACAGACTTTCCTTTCTTTCTGCATGCCCTTTATCTTAGCTGAAATAAACAAAAAAAAAATAGTTGAAACACCCTTTAGCTATAATTAGGGTACTTGTGTTCTTGTCCCAGCTGTGCTATGAGTCTAAGGGGTAAGTCTATTAACCTCTCTGTATATAATTTTCCTCTTCTGTACACGAAAGTGTTGAACAAGACTATCCTAAGGAATTTCTCACATGGACGTTTTCAGTAGCTCCTAACTAGTCTCTCTGCTTTCATTTTGCTCCTGCCATCCCTGAAATCTTTTCTTGGAGGTAGTACCTGCTCTAGTCCCCAACTTCCTCTCTAATCTCATCTTCTACCACTATTCCCTGCACTCACTCTGTCCAGGCACAATGGTCTCCACGCTGTTTCTTGTACACTGCAAATATACTCCCCTCTTGGGGCTTTTGCATTTGCTTTTCCCACTTCTTAGAAAGCTTTCCTTACCTCCACCGTCCCCCAAGGTTCACATGACTCATGCCTTCACTTCCTTCAATTACATAAATGCCTTTTCAGGAGCCATTCTCTGATCTGATCACCTTACATAAAATAGCACCTCCATGCCACTCTCTGCCCTGCCTTTTTCTTTTTAATTCTTATGACTACCTAACTCACCATATATTTCCTTGTTTGTCTTCTGTCTCCCTCCAACAGAAGATGCATACCATTAGAATAGGGCTTTTGGCTTGTTTTGTTCCCTGCTATATCCCCAGTGCCAAAAATAGTACCAGATACACAGTAAATGCTCAATAAACATTTGTTGAATGAATAACATAATGAACCTTTTCTAGTAATAAAATAAGTTTCACTGTGTGTCAAACTTTATTCATACTTAGTAGGGTTCAAATCCAGCTACTAGGACCTATAAGACACCAGTCAAGTATTAGAACTACACTGGAGTCAGACAACACAGAAAAGTTACCAAAGAAATGAATCATTAGCTGAAGCCAATCCATTCCATTCCTTGAAGATTTTTGTTTCATAGCATGGTAAGCTACAATAAGATTGGACTTAAATATTTATTCCATGCAGTTTCTTGCAATGAGAAAAGTGGCATTACTACCCTCATTTCACTTAGGCCTGGAGAAGTTTAGTCATTTATCCAACATATCCAACCTTTTAAGGAAGAGATAAAATAAGGACATAAATCCCTGACTGCCAAGCCCACAGTTATTTATTTTCAATAGTGACCTATACAAGAACAAAAAGATCTGTCCTGGCATAAATATGTAATGTGTGTGATGTGTAGGGTAAAAAGTGTAGATTAACTAACCTGAGGGACTCTTCCCACTGAACTTCTGAAGCAACTGCATATTCCAAAAGTTTATCTTATTTACAGTTTATTTTATACACTATCAGTATATACTGTACTGTTTATCTTATATACTGTCATATCCCCAATACTTGGCACATGCTCCTTTCATATGTGCTGATTAAATGAAAGTATCAGCCTCATAGTAAACAGAGGCCTATTAACAAACAGGTGCCCCTCAACCACCCCAGGTAATAATTACTCTCACCTCCTGCACAGGCCACAGCCTTGGAGCCATTTACACTCATGAACAGCCACACATGCACAGCACCCCTTGAAGGAAAAGAAAAACAAATTTCTACATCCTGCATCACACCTGGCTTTGCAGGTATTTCGTAGTCAGATGAGGGACAAGGACAAAATTGCCAGCTTACAGCTTGTTTCAGTATTTCTAGGAGCACCACAAAGACACACATAGATACATACACATCTATGTGTATGTGGAGAAAGACCCATTTACAAACACAAATGTACAAATACACATATGCATATCAAAATCACTTCAGAATTAGGCATGATACAAATCATAAATAAATTTATATATACAGTAACACACAAGCTGGTTTTGCCCAAGCATACTCACAAATGTACAAAAACACATACACAAAGATAATATTTACCTCAAGGTCTGACTGTGAAAAGTAAATGAGATTATGTGAATTCACAGTAGCTCTTGACACACAGAAATCATGCTAATAAAGGTTAGCTCTTGATTGTATATATAAAAATACATATATTATTTATTATATTTAAATTTGTATCCAACTCATATTAATATACACCTTCAAAACAAAATTTCCTTTTCAGTCACTACTCAGAATATCATGGAAATTCTAGATTGTGGGAGCCAATAACAGAACCGGTAGTGTGGGATGTGCTATTGTAGTGCAGGGGGAGGGGAGGGAAAATCCTGCTGGTAGGAGGCTAGTAAACAAGACTTTCCAGAAGTTTTTGCTTGGGAGAAGGCCTAGCCCTGGAGGGAACTGAGCTGATGAGTACTCTTGGGAGACCAACCAAAGGAGTTTCTAACGTTATTGGATAAGGAGAAGGGGTTGTCCTCTCTCAGTAGCCTTGGGGGGGAGAGTCCCCAGAGTGCCAGTGAGTTCAAATCAGCCAGAAAATCCTTTAAAGTATTTATCCTATAGTCCCATAGCTTGGAGAAAATCTGATTAACTCCATCTCCCCAGATGGGCTTTAGAGTGAAATGTATAGCTGGCTTCTAAGATTCAAATAAGGTGGGAAAACAGCGGAAGAAAAAACAGGGAATGTGAGTCATAACACAATCTCTGTGTGTACAACTTGGCTCTGCCATCAATTTGGAGCAAGCCACAGCTCTGTGAGGCTCAGTTTCCCCAGCAAATAAAAGGCAAATAAAACTGTCTCCTGTCCAGTTGGAATAAGGTGTTTTTATTCCCTCTCAAAAGGGTGCCAGCCACAACACCTCCCACTCAACCCTGGAAACTGCTCAAAGAATTTCTCTCGTATTTCCCTGCTGCGGTGACCCTTGAGGGGGTCTTTATCCACCAGACTTCTTTTTGGATATTCCTCCTTTCTTTCTGGGGCCAAATATTATAACTTCAGAGCTCTTTTTAAAAAATCAGGGATCTGCTTCAACTCTTCCTTTTTAAAAGGATAAATTGAGCCCAGAGCACGTCTTAACTAGGAACCATGTGTTTTACTCACATGCAACTGAATTCTTTAAAAATCAAGGTAACCTTTGAGAGACCTAGAGTGATTAATTCCATAACCTCTCTTACCCTACCGCTTACACGGAAAGAAGCTTGGGGGTAGGAGGGGGATTGCGCAGATCTCGTCCAGCACTCCAAGCGTTAAATTCAACCCGGAGTCTAACAGGCTATTGGCCGAATACCGGGAGAAGATCTGGTTTTCGTAGCCGCGGGCCAATGAACACCTCGAGTGGGAGGGTTTGAAGATACTAAGGAGTTTCCCCCCTTTTTTTATCCTCTCAACCCCCTCCCATCGGCTGTCACCCCTCCCATCCCCCACGCCTCCAGTTTGTTAAATTAATGCAGTAAGAAAGTCTGAAGATCTGTAGGAGCCTTGATCAAGGAAAGATGAGCGAGCTCAGAAAACCGAGATGCATCTGAGACATTGGGCTCCCGAGCCCCGCGGGGTAGCCATGGACCCCGGTAGCCCCTGAAACTTGCCCCGGGCTCTCTGACGCCTGCGGCCCCAAGCAATGGGACACCTTTTCTGCAGTGATCATAACTTATTCGGCGGGGACCGGGGACCAGGAAACAGGAATAGCAAGGCGACAGCAGAATAGCACCGAGGCAGGGGAATGAGATTCCGAGACTGGATTGCGATGCGCCGGCCTGGCACACTCTCCGAGATTTAACTGAAGGCAGCACCGTCAACCGCTTTCCCCTCGCCTCTAACCCCCTCAGCCGGCCCAGAGCCATAAAGCTCTGTTCTCTTTACCCAAGATGCTCGCCCAATCCAACGGTCCGAGGCCAACGTTCTGATCTCCACAGAAGATTTTTTTCCTTGCATGGAGCTGGCCGTTTAAACAGAAAAACAGGGGTAAAAAAAAAAAAAAAAAAAAAGGAAATATACCCACCCCCAAACGTGCCTCCCCAGCGCCGCAGGGAGCCAACAGACACGCTGGAGTTTAACAAACAGCAATACTCTTCGCGCTCCTGAAAAGCAGGGCTGGACGCTCTCCGTGGTGCTGAAACGCCTCGCAGCAGCCGCTGTCCGTGGTATCCACAGCCCCCTCGCTCCGACTTCCCCTGGGGCTCTCCCTCCGAGCCCCTGTTCCCCGCCTCCCCTTAACATCTGGATTATTTTTTTCAATAGCGCTTTCTGGTTTTGTAAGTGCCAATTTGAAACATTTTTGCCCCCATAACTCGTGGACTACAAAGCACAAGGACCTCAAAAATGTACAGCTTCAATACTCTTCGACTCTACCTTTGGGAGACCATTGTATTCTTCAGGTATGCAATTTTCTACTGACCACATCGCTGTGATGGAAATGGGGGGAAAGAGTACAGAGGCTACCTTTGTCCGTGGTCCCATCATTTTGGGGAAGAGGGGTGCTGTATTCCACTGCAATCGGGTCCTTCCATCCCCCGTCTCCTTTCTCCCCCCTCCCGCCCCCCCGCCACCTCCCCCCACCCCCGCCCGCAGGGTGTCTGGCTTGTGCGTGGAGGTCTGAGACAGTCGCTGTTCTGGCAGCTGTTTGCCTGTTTCTTATGGTTTGTTTGTCCTTCTGTCTGCTACACCCCCCACCATTGGTCCCCAGCCCCACTGCATGTTGGCTTTCACTCAGCTGAGGACTTTAAGGGGAAGCTTTAGGAGTTACTCAGTTTAATTAGGACTGCATTCTCCCTAACCGCAGTGCCGAAAACCTCAGCTTTCCCGTCTGGGAGCCAAGTGACAACTAGTGGTGACGGGGAAGGTTGCACTCAAACTCGCTGGACACAGAGCATTTCATTTTCTCTCCTTTTTTGCTGTTGTTTTCTTTCTCTGCGAGGAGGGAGGGAGGTTACTAAGGCTGAGTGCTTGGAAACAATAGTATTATGACCTCAGTGTGTAAAACCCTGAACTTGGGTGCAGAGTGGATCTATTCAGGAACATACTGGGAAACATTTCCCTTTTGAAACTTTGACTGCCTCTTTCCCCAACCCACCTTTCCAAACTCTGTTAGCTGCAGATCCTGAACTCATGAGCAATCCTCATTTGTTTTGTTCTTTAATTTGTGCTTATATTTGACTCAACAGCTGAGTTCTCCCATCCACTGTCTCTCAGGTTAAAATTTTCTGCCTGAAGGCTTGGCATTCTTACGTTAGTAGAAGTGAAAAGTGAAAAATCACCTTTTCAAGAAGGATTGAAACAGACAGTCCTTTTGTAAGTGGGTGAATCATACCATCTTCAGAGATGGCTATGAAAAATTCCACTTATATGAATTGAAAAAAATTATTCTTCTTCCATGATGTGCAGGGATCATTAATCTTCCTCATTTTAGATGCCTGCCTCTCATATTTTACTGTGGCATTGGATTAACAGTCATTTGAAAAACCCACTCCAAATTGTTTTTAAAAACAAGTGGTCACCAAATATTATCCTCTCCCAACATAAAACAGCAAATAATTTTTGTTTTATTACACTTCATAAGAATTGCTGGTTTGACTAATCTCTTGGCTGGTTTATTAAATGAATGACACCTCCCCTTAAATAGTAAGTTTCTGTATTTCAGCCTCTTTTCATGTCTTTCTCCTGAGATGAAGAAAAGACATGCCCCCTTCTCTGAGACACCCAATGCTAAAGCTTCTAATCTCCAGTTCAAATAATTATTTTGTAGGCCACAGAGTCCTGACCACAGATCAGAATGCAAATAGTCAGAGAGTCAGATAGAATGAAAAAGTACAACAATCCAGGACCTTACGAAACGTATCAAAATGTGGTTACTTTATGGGGGAAAGGGCAGGAAGTATTCTATTAATAATATCAGATCCTTTCTCCCCTGCCTATTTAATAGAACTACAAAATGTATGGAGGTTGGGTACTTTGTAACATTTGTATGCAAATTGATTCTCTGTTTGGTTTACAGGAGACTGAACTGAACCAGAGAGATTAAAGAGCAAATTAATAGAACCAAGCACATCTTTCTCCCCACACACACTCTCTTTTTTTCTTGATGAACAGTATACAGTGCTTGATTTTCCTCTCCCAGACATTGTCTTTCACAAAAGGGAGACTCAGTCTAAAAGGTCTGCATTGTAGTCATTTTGATAAGGTTATGAATCCACTGTGTTAATTCTTCAACTAAGCTGGTGGTGGCCTATCAGCAAGCATCATTCTACATCTCTTTCCCCTACGTGTGTGAATGCACACATGAGCTACAATGGATGTGAAATATAATTCCATGTGTTTATAAGGAAAGAAGAGTTATAACTGTGGAGAGCTGGAAAGGTGGGTGGCACCACTGCACTTTTAAAATATAGGAATGGCTACTTCATTAGAGGAGTAAATGTTGATTTTTGAAACATATTACAGATAATAATTGAACTCAGGAAATCCAGCAATTTTTCAGAGAGATTTTTTAAAAAGTCATGAGGAAGTAAAGTCAGTAGCTTGTATTTGTTCAATTGGTATTTTCATTTCTAACTCACTCATTTTTAAAATTCCAGGCAAAAATACAGAAGCATTATAATGTGAGGACTTACTAGAATGTATGTGGGGGTAAATGGAGGCTGGCAGCTCTCTAGCAGGTTCCATTTGAATAACCCCTTCTTCCCCAGGGGATAGGTGGTGTGTTGGAATGGCCAATCCAATCATCTCAGGCTCTCAGGTACTCCTTAGAATAAGTGATGCCAGCTGCTCACCTTGTTGGGGAAATCGGGGGCTAGGAAAGGCTCTCAATAATAGACATGCTGCATCAGCACATAATCAGCGAAACGGCAATAACAACAGCAAAACAAAAAAAAACAAAAACAAAAATCAAGTGAGTGAGGCAGAAATCCCACATGGTACCAACACAGAGGAGGAACTAAGGTCTTAGAAAGGAAGACATGGGGTCCTGGAAGACAAAAAACATTGCATGCTCATCAACTGTGTCTTCATAAGTAAGATCGGGCGATTTGGCTGTAGTTCCTGATCTGATATTTTTTAAACCTATGATTCTAAAATTCTGTAATTGGCATTCTGAGAGTCAATAACCTAAATATTTTCCCTTATTTTCAGTTGAGAATGGGGCTGTATATCCAGACTGGTCAAAAATAACAGGCAAAATTTTTTAATGGTAGAAGCACATTTCTTTCAAATGTCCTTTCAAGCCAAAGGGAACTTGGCTTTGATCCCCAGAGCCCTTACAGAGGCTTATGGCTGGGGTAGGCCCAGTATGGCCCCAAAATTCTCTTGCCTTCTGAGCAACTCAAACAGACCCATGTTTCTCAAGCTCTGCACTACTGGCACTTTGAACTGGATAATTATTTGTTATGGAAGTTGTCCTGGGCATTGTGGGATGTTTAGCAGCATCCCTGCTGCTAGTAGCACTACCTCCTTTTGATAGTCATGACCATCAAAAAATGTCTCCAGACACTGCCAAATATACATCCTGGGCAGAGGGGAGAAAAAATTGTCCAAGGTTTCAAACCACAGTACAGAATGACCAAATTTTTAATCAGCTGCTCCAATGTACTAATTATAATGGGGAGGAAAGTCTAGCTTCCTTGAGAAAATGTCCCCCATGAAATACACAAAGCACCCTGATGAAACAAAAAGGGACCTAGCATGTGCTTGAGAAGGGAATAAAGGCAGGGAGATGAACCAGATCTAATTCCTGGGTGGTTTTCCCAAAAGATGAGCAACTTTTCTTTAATGTGCTACTTCCCTCTTCCATCCCAGTAGGTGCTTCCTTGCACTGGATTTTATACTGAATATGCCACTCAGCTGCTAACAAAGGTCATCAAAACCTTGAAGGGAAAATGTTTCTATCCACATTAGGATCAAAAGAAAAATGACAAATACATTGTTTCATATCTCAGTCCTAAAGAAAAAACCTACCCAGTTGAAAGGTGAATGGGTTTTTCCTTGAGGTAGCCCCTGTGGCTTCTCCATCTCCAGGCTTGTCAAGAAGGGCAGATGACTGTCTTGATTTTTCCCTTCTGGAAAGACAGCTGTACTCTACCTTGAATCTTACCTGCTGCATTTTGGCACTGCAGAACTTGTCTAGGAGTTTCTGACATGGCCCAAGGACTTTTCCCCAACGAATGAAGTCCCTTGGGCAAGTTTGTATAAGCATCGAATTGCCAATTAGTCTACTCCCTTTATGGGCTTAGGAACCTTAAAAAACAGAAAAGAAAATGTTGTGATTTTGCTCCTGAAGGACAGGTGGGACAGGGACCCTAGGCTGGTAAATGGAGTTATGAATCAGCACATGACTTCTGTATATTTGCCAAACTGGTAATGACCTAAGCAGAGGATATTTAGGAAATTGTTTTCTTTAGATTGCCTTATGAAAGAGGTTATGGCCATGTCCATGGTGCAGTGGAAAGAGAAGTTGGGCTATAAATTGAGAACTCCTGCCTCTAGAGTCAGCTCTGCTTCCATCCCACAGCATGGGCATAACAAGTCTCTACCTCTAATGCGGACTCAATTTTCTTACCAATCAACTCAAATGACTGAATCTGACACTTCTACGCTCTCTCCAGCCCCTGATAAGATCTTTATCAAAGGCAGGGGTCCATACCCACAAAGCTTCAGGACGAATTGACAGGTGGTGACGCTGCCTTCATTTCTTCACTAGGAACTTGTTTATCATGCGCTTATGTGTTCAGTCTAAAACTAAGCACTCTGCAGGGACAGATGCCACAGTCCCTGTCCTTGCAGAAAGGGGAGACACTGCTCCCTTTAAAGGTACATTAAAACCATTTTTTCATTCTTCAGAGGACCCACAGAGCTCCCCTCCAGGCAGCCTGTGCGTGCGTCCTGCGACAGCATCACATTTATGTGGGCGTCATTAACTTTATTTCCTTCATCAGCTGGCAGAAGCCAGCATGATTTTTAAGATGGATGGCACTGTCTCCCTGCCTGGCCATCTTGAAACTATTCTGCAGGTTTGCGTTAAACAAAGAGGCTTTGGCCTAAAGGGAAGGAGACCTAGGATCCAGAATGTAGCTAGTGGCATGACCTTGAGAGGGTTCTAAGACCTTTCTGGCTCTCAGTTTCCTCAGCTGTAAAATGAAGAGATTCGGCCAATCACGTTCTAAAATCACTTTTAGCCATGCCAGTTTAGGATATCTTCTCCCGATCTCTTCCATGATAGCACAGCTTTCGTTACAGCTATTGCAGTATATTTCAGCTATTATAAGAAATAGCCACATCAAGGTATAGTCAGGCTCAAAGGTCTGAAAGAATTGAGGACCTCACTAAGCAATTCACTTTTTGGAGAATTATCCTGACCCAGACACGATTATTGACAGATCCTATACATATGTCAGTTTCCGCGGGAAATGTTTATTGTGATGAGAAAACATGAGGCCTGATCGCTATACTCACAGATCTGAAAAATGGTGTGAGAAAGAGAGACCAAACATTTCTGTACTTTTTATCAATGATTCTGTTTGGCTCTTTTTCCCCTCACAAAGTCTATGTTTTTTGTTTTTGTTTTTGTTTTTTCAAAAAAAAATTTGTTTACCAGATACCATTCATCATTAATATATTTTTCCCATCTTTATTAATCAAAGGCATATGTAACTGCCAGAAATACTAAATACCATGGGATAAGCAATGTCGCCACACTGAGTTGACCTAAGAAAAAACAAAAGTAAAGATCTGTGATTATTTTTAGTTAATCCAGAGAGCCTTGTCAGAAGTAAATATGCAATTTGTTAGAGCCTTTGAAATGTTTAAAATGCACTCTGAGTCCTCATTACTATTTCATGAATCTCCTATGTACCCAGGGACCCCATATTGGGAAACATTAGATTTGATTTATTCTATGTAGCTCCAAGAGAAAAATCAGAGTAAATTCACAGATTTTTTTTTGAAAGCACACATACAAATTCGGACTAAATATAAATCAGAACTTTCTGGTAGCTCTTTCAAATGGTACTGTGGGCTGCCTCAGTGGTAGTGATGGTATCTGTCAGTGGAAGTGTGCAAGAAGAGCCTGGACGTCCACCTCCTAGGAAAGACATAGAAGGAATTCAAGCTTCTTTTGCAAATTGAGATTTGTAATTTGCTGCAGAAGAGTGAATGAAATGCAAGTCAGAGACAATCCTTCGTAATTCTATATTCCCTCCTTTCCTGATTCCCAAATTGCCATCTAATCTTTGTAAGCTCTTCGAATCATGACATGAATACCCACTAACGGGGATATGTTTCTCCTTAAAATTGGATTGGATAATTAATAAATTGGACAAAGAACATACAAACACCATGCAACAAAGAATTATTGAAAGGAAATCACCTTGGTTATGTAAAAGCCTGGTTTTAAGAAATGAGAAGAGCCTCAGAATAAGCCAGAAAAAAACTACCAGAAAGTGCACTTGCCAACGGACAAGGCCACAGGCACCAATGGTGTTCACAGGACTGATGGCCTCTCAGCCTTGAACTCCAGCTGTCTCCCTGAACCAACTCCCCGTAAAGCCTAACACACAAAATGAAAACGCCATACAGCCAGCCAGCAAATTCATTCAGAAAGCACATTAGAAGGGAACAATGCCCAGAGATGCTGGGGAGAGGGGCTTATCCACACAGTGCCTATGTTTTGTAATGCAAGCTCTTATGAGGAGTACTGAGGCACCAAAGCTTTTGAAACTCCTTTCAAAGGATCCCTTTGTGGTTTTCTGAAGTGGATATTGTCCAAGCCTCCTGAGGCTAATTCAGTGCAATTAGATTACCACTCTCTGCGTTTGAATTGGGCTGGTTTTCAGTGTCCATTGCTAAATTAGTTTACCGTCTTAACGGAGCTGCCGACAATCATTAATCCCAGCCGTGAAATGGGCAGCAGCTCTGGGCAGCATGCTCTCTTGCCTCATATTCTGGGCAACCCACAGGCACATGGAGAACAAGCCTCTGCTTCCTTTCTCACAAGTACATTCCCAGCTCTTCCAACCGTTCACCCTCAGAGATTCGTGCTTTCCTTCAGAGTGTCTTGAGTATCAGCAGAATCATGGAATCTTGGGGTAGGAAGGACTCTTAGCTTTAGAATTCAACGGCTGTCAAAGTTAGCTGTGAGGTGCTTGTCAAAAAGACAGATTCTCAAACATTTGTTAAGAGGACAGATCTCATAGTAAGTATTCTTACTGCAAATAACAACAACAATAATAATAAACATATAAAAGAGCAAGAAGAAACCTTTGGGGGTGATGGATAGGTTTATGGCATAGATTATGGTGATGGTTTCATGAGCATATACTTGTCTCTAAACTCATCAAGTCCTAAATATGCACAACTTTTTTATGTCAATCACACCTCAATAAAGTGGTTTTAAAAATTAAATTAAATAAAATACAGCTTCTCAAAATCAAACTACTGAAACAGAATCTCTCAGAATGCGGACCCAGAAACCCATAATGTCAACAAGAGTCTCTAATTCAGTGCTTTTCAAACTTCAGTGTCCAGGATCACCTGAGGATCTCCTAAGATGCAGATTCTGGCTCAGGAGTTCTGGGATAGGCCTGAGTGTCTGCATTTCTAAAGCATCTAGAAGATTGATGCTGCTGCTTCCATGGATCAAAGGTTTGCACAGCAAGGCTCTAGATCATTCTGACAGAGAACCCCTGACATAGATCAACCCTTTTATTTTGCAGATGTGGAGGGGATAAATAACTGCCTCAAGTTTATAGAGTGGGTAAGCTCCCAAAGCCATACGTAATCTCCAAACTTACTCCCCTACATGTCTTCTACAGAGTCCATACACCCTACCTCTGCCACTGCACTTTCTTTCCTTCAGTCCTCACACTCTGTCCTTTCTCATAAACACATTCACCCTTCTAGAGGGTTTCTCAGGGAGCTATCCCCAAACTGGTGGCCTGGTCTCTGAAGTCCTGGTGCACCAAAAGCTCTCATTCACACTGCTGGGAACTCTATGTGACACTAGATAAAGAGAAGGGGCACCCGGGCAATGAGTTTTAAATCCTGGCCCTGGGACACAGCAATGAGTCTGTCAGGATTGATACAGGAGGTGAATCAAGATGGTCAGAAGGAGAGGGTATGTGGTTTCTTTCTCCAAAGATGATCGCACTTACTAGTCTTCCTGTGTACACTGTACTCTCAACTTTTGTACTCTCAACTTTGTAAAGCTAGAGGCTTGCTTAGGACTCCCAGATGTTCACAGACCACTGCCACATTCCACCACCTGTCTGACCTTAGGACCATGATCTTCATTTTTCTCTATCCCTTTAACCTGTCAGCCTTTCTGCAAATCATGTTAGTATTTTATATACCAAATAGAGTAACTACTATGATCTTCAGCCTTTTGAGAGCTGCGTGTTTATTGCTGTGTGCTCAGTTCTGCAACATTCGCCAGCTCCAGAGGAATGCGGCAAGGCTGCTGCAACCCTGGCTGCCAGGCAGATTTGCAGTACTGTCTTATAAAAAGCACTTCACAGGTTATAGCATGTTTTATATCCACGATCTCATATAAGCTGCCCAATCACCTTAAAAATTAGATACAGAACAATGGTTAGTAACCCCATTTTAGAGCTGAGAAAACTGAGGCTTAAAGAAAACAGGTGGTTTGCCTTTTGCTAACAGCAGGTAACCATGCTGTGATTCTCAGAGTAAAACCAGGATTCAAACACATATCTCCTTGCGCCTCACTCACCATACCGATATACAGAGATAGACAGTTAGACAGAGATACATTTATGTAGCCCCTTTGAGCTGGTACAGCTGTCAGTCTAATAACCCTCTCCTTCTACCAGTGGATAACAGGGGTGGAAAGAAGCCTAGAAAAAAGAGCTGGAAATTTTTCATTGGCCTTTGGTTTGACAGAGCCTTATTCTTCCTACTCTTGGCCAGATAGGCATTTATTTCTCTGCCTTGATCATGTTTAATTGTACAATGCATGCATACATTACCTTTTTAAGAAATTATAATACTACACCAAAGCCTGAGGTCCCCTTTGATAATGACCTCTAGGTCTCTTTCAACTGTTATCTTTTCTGATAATTTTTTATTCATATATATTATATATACATTATGTACACACATGTATATAACCATTGAAATATACAATCATTTCAAGGAATCATATTTTCTATACAATTTGCAGTTTGTTTTGTTCACATATTAACATGTCTTGGGAAGCCTTACATGTTGAAGCATACAGTTCTACTTCATTCTTTTAACCACCGCAGAGCATTTTATGTTATGGATGTCCCGTTGTTTTCTAGCCATCCCTTATTGATGGACACTTATACTTTTTCTAATCTTCCCACTGCAATCAGTGCTGCAATAATTACAGTGTACCTACAACTTTATGAACACATGTGGTATTTCTCCAGGTACATAATAAGAACTAGGAATGAAATTGCTGGGGTACAGAGAAAATGCATCTTATATGTTAACAGATAACTGCAAACAGATATTCCTTTCTTCCTGAACCTTCCCTTCTGCCTTCCCTCATGATGCCCCATCTCAGCCCCAACTGCAATAACTCATTAAAAATAATCATTAGCATTTACCGAGTGTTTATCGAATGCTAGAGACTAAGCTAATAACATCATATACCCTATCTCATAATTCTCAAAAAATACTATTACTTTCTATTATAAAAATACTATTCTATCCCCATTTTACAGGAGACAAGACTGATACATAAACAGGTTATGTAACTTGCCAAAGGTAAGATAACTAGTAAAAGGCAGAGCTAGGATTCAAAATTGGGCGTGACGGTAGAAAACACTCCTTTCACCATTACCCTGCCACTATTACTCTAAGAAAGAACCAGGGAGGAGGAAGGAGGAGACTAGACTGGATGAGAGAAATGAAAGATATGAATTTGCCTCTCTAGAAAATCAAGAGCTAATCTCTTGCAGGTGGTTCTGGATAGTTAAAAAGTTATTAACATGCATCTGTAAGTAGATACAAGCTTTCAATCTCTATCCTTGACACACAAGAGAAATTGCACTAGCTCCCACCCCCATCATAAGGTGTGTGGTTAGAGCTCTGTCAAGGGGCAGAGATGGTCAGCCACTGAAGGTCCTTTCTCCTTTGTCCCACCTGCCTTGTGACCAAGATCATTTCATTGAGAAAGCTAGCCAGGATGGTGGGGGAGAATTTCTGACTGAGTCAGGAGGTCAAGAAGAAGGGCAGCATAGTCTCTGGCCCAGGAAAAGAATGTTTTAAAATCTTGGTCCCTTTTACTCAGACCAAAGACATTTTTAGCTGTGTTCTCTAACCCCCAGACAGAGAGGACTTTCCCCAGTCTCCCTTTTCTTCTGTATGTGCTCAGCCTCATGCACTAAAGGTCTCACCACATGCCCCAGATGTATCACTCCCAAAGCAGACCTTCAAAGCAGGCTTTTCATAACATCTTTAAGCCAGAAAACCACATCCAGCCCAGACGAGGCAGGGGGAGCAGAAAGGGCCAGCCCTCTATAATAGCCATTGGCATCACTCCTGACATGGCTTGTGGGAAACCCAGGCAATGCAGTCTCAGACATCTGTTTTCAATAGCTCTCTGGGTGACACCAGAGACATTTTCTAATGTGTCCCTACCAGCCTTATTGCTACTAGAGAAAAAGAATACAGTAGAAATAAAGTCTCTTACTACCAACTCTTAAAATAGACCTGCTGGTTTGTCATTTTGTTTTCCTTTATTTTGTTTTTTACACTATAAAATGTATTTGTTATAAAATATTAAACAGCATAAGGAGATATGTTTGAAACTAAAATACACGTAAATCTTACTTCCTAGGATAAATCACTTAACAGCTTGATATTCATCCTCCTAAATGGTTTTAATAACATAACAATAACAAAAACATGAGTGCTTCCTATGTGCCTGACACCTTTCTAAGAGCTGGATAGAACTTAACCCATGTAACCTTCAGAACAATCCTATAAATCATATACTATTATTCATTTCATTGTACAGATGAGGTTAAATCATTTTCCTAGGATCACCCAGCTTGGAAGTGTCAGTGTGGGATTGGAATCCACGAAGTGTGGCTTCAGACATCCCTTAGCTGCTGTGCTACTGTAGTAAGCTGCTTCTGTTTTACAAAAAAATGGGATTATCCTAAACACCATGTTTGGCAACTTCTCTTTTATCACTCAGGAATACCTTGTCAGTGTGCATATGGATCTACCTCATGCATTTTTGCAGTTGTGCTGCCCTTCTCTTGAAAATGCCAGGTTTTAATATAATATGAAACTCTCAGCTTGCCGCACACAGCACCCACTGCTATTTCCAACTCCTTTATTTCACACAAACTGAATTCCAACCCAAAATGGATTTCTCATTGTTCATAAGCAGCACATCCATAAGTCTCATCTCTGTATTGTAACTCATGTTGTGCCCTATACTCTCCATAAATCTGGTAAAGCTCCCCCCTCACTCTGCCTTAAAAGATACACCAACCAGCTCTAGGTTCAAACTCATCTGATTTTGAATCCTGCCTATGTTACTTCCTTGCTGTATGGTCTTGGCAGTTTGCTCAATCTTCCTGAGCCTCAAGTTCCTCATCTTAAAAACTGAGAATAACAACTTCACTGATAGATACACGAAGCCCCACTTCAAACACATTTTCCTATCAGAGCACAATCCCTTAACAAATGGTAATTTCCTCTCCTCTCTGAGATGCTATCCATGCCTTAAGACCCATGTCTGGCGTCATTTCCTCCATGAATTGTCCCTGGATTGCATCTATGCCTAGCCCCAACTGGGCATGGACTCTCCTTCCTAAATCCTCTTGGAAATATAGGCATTATCCTTAGCACTCAGTTTGTTTAAAGTGACCTTACATACATTTGGGTGCCCTTCTAGCTTTCCTGTTGGATTGTAAGCCCCTCAAAGATTAGCGCTTAATGAATTTCTTGATGCATATGAAAAGCAAACAAGAAGAAGAGGAAAACATCCCTTGGTGCTTTCCAGAGTTTTCAGCTAACTCCACTACCCCTTCATAGATAATGTCATCCCAGGGGTTCATGTATATCAGACACTCAGTGTTTGTTAAATCAAATTGCTTTGTCCCCACGTGTCTGTTCCCATCCTCCTTCTATTGGCTCTGCAGAAGCCCAGGACCTGAAAGATTCCAAACAACCAACCCTAAAGCACTGCTGTATCTCACCATGACCCCTTTCTGCTCCAAGAAATGAGTCACAGTGAGAGTGTGAGCTAGATATGGCGGCGCAGCTCTGGCTCCGTAGCTGTTGCAGTGAGTTGCTTGCTCAACCTTACCCTTGCTCTCTGACAGGGCATGTCCAAACTCTGGGCCTCTCGAAACATCTGAGCCATTATAAACAAGGCTGCTCTTCACCATCACCAGGTCCTGTGGAGAAGCCCCTTCCACAAGACAAGGAAACATTTCTAAAATAATTTTAAACATGAAGAAAGTATGGACTTACCTCAGTTAAAGGTAGTTTCCTCAATGTGACCTAAAACATCTAGTAGGAAAGAAGAAAAGAAAAACAGTCTTCACAGGAGCCAAGTAAAAGACTGCATCATGCCTAGAGAGAGGGTGCCTTGAATAAATGTATTGAATATGTCTTGGAATGTAAAAAGCTATGCCTACTGAAAAAAGGAGGTGATACGGCCTAGTAAAAAATGTAATGCCTCATGCTGCCCAAAATTGGACAGCCTAGATATTACAGCAAGATTTTCCTTCCGCTGCAAATTCTGCTCTAACTTTGTAACTAGTCTCAGCTTTTCCATGCCTAAAACGAGATGGAACTATGTAAAGACTATGGGTCTTTCCAGTTGTCATTATCTAATTCTTAATTTAAGTTGGCATATTGAAGGCCCAGTAGTTAAAAACTCTAGCTTGGGAATCAATTATACATATTCCAAAATCCTAGTTACACTACTTGCTATGTGTATGCCTTGGAGCAAGATTATTTTTAAAATTGCTAAGTCTCAGTTTTCCTCATCTGTTAAATGGGAATTATAATTATCTCTTCCGGACAGATTATCATACATATTAAAAGGGAGAAGGCATATAGATAGTTTGCATTGCATATGGCACACAGCAACTGTACAAAGCAGGAAAACCACTATTACTATAATTAAAGTAAGATAGGTGCAAAGTGTTGCGGGAGCATACGAAAGAGCCTGGTTAACTCTGTCTGGAGGTGGGAAACAGTATAAATTGAAGACATTTCACAGGACTCAGGATAATTAAACTGGGCCATAAAGAATGACTAATTTACCAGGTAGGCAAAGAGTATCAGGAGAGTGAAGCAAACAAAGGAAAAAGGCTTGCAGAACAGTCAAGCTGAATGCTGTTGAGCTCAAGGCCACTGGGTAGGCCAGGCATCCACCCTGTTAAGTTGGCTCATCCCATTTCTGCTCTACCCTATTCTTTCCCAATGGGCTTTCTATCAATTAGAAGCCCAGTTGAGAGAGGATAATTTGTTCATTATCCAAAAAATATTTATTAATTCCTACGATAACCAGGAGTTGTTCTAAGTTCTGGGGATAGATACACTGAGGAACAGAAGATTCATGGTCCCTGCTCTAACACATCTTAACTTCTAGTGGGGGGTACAAACAAATAACTAGTGGGGGGGTACAAACAAATAGACAAATTGGGAAACTATAGAATTGCAGGACCTAGTAAGTGCTCTAAACCCAATAAAGCAGGAGAGGGTGACAGAGAACGGTCTACTATCAAATCCACCCTCAGGACACCTACACTTTCATACATCTCCATTATCTCCCTTAAGCCTTATATAATAGGAGATGGGCAGGTTGGAGAGGACTGTTTCTTCTTCTAGTTGAGGAAACTGAAACCCTGAGGGGAAAAATGATTCATTCAAAGTCACACAGCCAGTTAGTATCATGGGCAGGCAACCTCATTCCATGCAGAAAAGTCAAAAATGGCCAGGATGAATGATTACGAGAAGTGGAGAGAGAAGGGAAGGCAAATAGCAAAACCGTCTGTATAGCAGGATCCCATTTTTATTTTCTTATATGTATTAATGTTCTCTTATGGGGAAGAAATCTACAGAAATGGACTGAAAACTGCTTATAGTTGTTATTATCTCTTGAGAATGAGACCATGGGGAACTTTTATTTCCTGCATTAAATATTCCTGTAATACTTGAATGTTTTACAACAATATATATTACTTTTGAAAAGCTGGAAAATATATTTTTTAATAAAACAGGATTCCAGAGAGCATGGGCATTCAATCAAACTTAGAGCCCACCTAACAAAAGGCAACCTGTACCAGGTAGGAAAGAAAGACATGTGGAGTCACCCAAGCCAGTGCCGTGTCGATTGTGCTTTCTCCAAGTAAAAACCAGCCTAGAGGCTGAAACTATTTGGTGTATTTAGAAGAATTTTCTGAACAAATGGAAGTTGCTGTTCCCACAGAAGTAATTGTGCTGGAAGCAAAATGTCGCTGGAAAATGGAAGGCTAGAGTTATATTATAGAATTAGGTGCTCAGAACAACGTGATTGATGGTACATACTCTCATCAGGGTGACTGGAGCCCTACACAATTCACTGTGCAATTTCATAAAATACTCACGACAAAAAAAAAAAAGTTAGAGATGGAAAGAATTATATGTCCCAATTCCTTTAGTTCCCAGGGAGGAACTGTGGCCAGAGGGAAAGGGACTTGTCCAAAGTTAACAGTAAATTAATGTCCAGTCTAGACAAGAACTGAGAATTCCAAGTCTCTTATCACCAAGACAGCTTTCCCTAAAATCAAATCAGAGTTACACCAACAGTGTACAAGATACACTATAATGGTACAGGATAATGTTCTCTTATTTTATTTTACTAGGGACCAGAACTTACCAATTCCATTATGATACTGATAACATTTAAGACTAAAAATCAAACTAAAAATAAATTAAATAACAGTACATAAATTGGGCAAAACTCGTGATATGATATGCAAGTGATTTTGGTTTGGAGAATACAGCACTCTGTCGTCACATCTTAAACACTATCTGGGAGAAAATGGAAAGTATCAGAAGGACTTCTTAAACTGGGTCAGTTCTGAGCAAGGCCTAACTTTACTCTTAAGTTCCAAACAGCTTCTTCTCAGGGTAAGTCATGGACATGGGCTACAATTTGAATTCAAATAGTTGTAGAAAAGATGGTGCCTTTGGTTAAAAAGTGGACACATTCAGGAGGCAGAGCACAGCTGAGATCAGGTCACTCTTTGTGTAATTTGCCAAGTCTCTATCTGAGCTATGTTCATAATTTTCTTTTCTCTCCTTATTTATTAGAATGACATCTGTGACTCTCAACCCTTCTCCTTAAGGACAGAAATCCCTCTAAATAATAATATTTATAATTAATAATGCTAGCAAATATGAATAACGTGTATTTAGAACCTACTATATGCCAGAAACTTTTCAAAAAACTTGATATGTATTAACTATTTCATCTTTATAGCAACCTTATGAGGAAAGTACGATGATCATCCTCAGTTTGTAGATGAAGGGACTAAAGCAGTGACCTTACCAACCTAGGACTCCTTTAGGGCACCTTGGCAATTCAAGTTCAAAGTCTTCATATGGAGAAAGACAGTGGACAAACCCCTCCAAAGACGTGGCAGGGTAGGATGGAGAAAGTAGATAGAGACGCTGAGGAGGAAAATTGAGGGGCTCACCCCAAATCACAGCCACGATGGAAAGAACTTGACAACACACTTCTCTTTCAATTCTTCTACCCAAAGTCCTGACTTTCTTTCCATTTAACATTATGGGATTAAGAAGAAACAAAAGAAAAGAAAGAGTATTGAGCAAGATACAAAATGAACAATTAAAAAAAAAACAAGAAAGGGGAGAGAAATGTGGAGATAAGCAGAGTAATAAAGAGGGAAGAGCGCTCAACTCAGGTCTACTCTGGGTTCCACCAAGGACTCATTCTGTGAATCTCTTTCTCTCTTGGAAATGCATTCTTCTCATCTGTAAAATGAATTAGTACACTGTACTAGAGGACGTCTAAGATCGCTCTCAACTCCATCATCCCAGGATTCAGAAACAAATGAAGGAAAACGAAGAAGGTAGAGAAACCAGAAGGGAAAAAGAATGCAGGAGGGAAGAAGCAAAGGTTAAGGAGGAATGATGACAGGAGGAGGAAACAAGAGAGAGAAAGGAAGACATTTTCCAAAGCAGTTGGAATCTGCTTATCTTGTTGAAAGAAAAGGAAGGATCGTCACATCACGAATTCCAACAATAAAAGCTTTCTCTTCATGCAACTAACTCCATGTTTCTTGCTGGTGGGACCCATGGCTGATGTTGGTAGGAGCCTAGACTGATGTCTACAGAACAGGAGCCTGAGTAGATACCTGGGAGGAGGCAGGATGCTGCCTTGTTGTCAAAGCCCAGGAAGGAAGGCTGCTGAGACAGCCCTCAGAAGGGCGGCCCTTCCTCCTCTTCCTCACCTCTTCCTCCTTTTCCTCATCTACCTCTTCCTCCTCCAGGTCAGATAAAGGACAACAATTATTAGTATATTCCCAGGCTCTGGGAAAGTCCTGGGGAAACGACTAGTGAATGTGCCCAAGGGAGCCACAACTGCAACATTACAGCATGGTGCCTGCTAGAAAGAATCCTGGGAATCATCAAAAGGAGAAAATCCCAGGCAAGAAAGAGACCTTGCAAGGTCATCTTCTCCATCTCTTGCCTCTGAGCATCCCTTCCCTAATTGTCCAGGGGCTGCAATCCAAACCAAAAGATATAGCACAGAATAACACTCAGTCCTATCAGCTAATCTTTCCACAACTGTCTGAGCCATCCCAGGCCTTGCTACCTTTGTAGACAAAGACAGTGCTCCAGTGGTTGAACTCTAATGCACATGGCACAGTGCTGGGCATATAGTGGGCTCCTCGAACCCATCTGATATTTGATCCACAGGGTGACATGGTTTATTAGCTGTGTGGTTCTAATCTTTCCCCCAATAATGTCTATTCTATTGCTTAACATTTCAGTCTAAACATTCTTCCTTTTGTTTATTCCACTGCTCATGTTTTAAAGTCCAACCTGTCATTTGCCTAAGGGGACAGAAATTAGCATGTACCTGCCACTGCAGAAGTGAAGTAAAATACTCACCCAGGAGGTGACCTTTCCAAGTCTAAAATTTTTCCCAATGAAGAAGTGAGTAGGCAGTGTCACCAAATAAATGAGAGCCACAGATACAAATAGAAAGATTATAGATAATTTTTCACTTAATATATAAAGAGCAACTTCTGTATACCAGCTTCTTGGCTAAACAATTTATCTATAATTTTTTTGTAAGTCTTCTAAAATTAGGCCATATTCTCAGTTTATAGATGAAGAAACAGGCTCAGAGAAGTTAAGCAACTTTCAAGAACATCCAAGTAAGTAATAAAGTCACAGTTCCAGCCCACTCCTCAGCTGTCATCCTTACAGCATGCTACTGAGCAGAAGTTCAGCCTCTCCTTGAATACTTCCAGTGACAAGAAACTCATTATCTACTTAGGCAGCTTCTTCCATTATTGGGTGGCTCTAATGGTCTAAATATTCTTTCCTCACATGTATCAGGCAGCCACTTTGCTCTTTAAAAGTCCGACAGGCCTTCCCTGGTCACTTGGAACAAGTCAGTGGGCTGTAGAAGGTACTCAAACTGTAGAATTAGAAAGACCTGGCTCCATTCCTACCATTCCATCTATTAACCACATTAACTGTCAAGTCACTTCTGCCTCTGTGCCTGTTACTTCATCTGTACAATAGGAACACAAATATGTACCTCGTGTAGTGTTTTGGAGAAGAAAAAATAAATACTATTTGCAAAGCTAGATGTCTGGAAAATAAAAATACTCAAATCATTATTTTATTAAGTTGGGTCCCTCTTCTCCTAACAGCCCAACCGACCAATCCCTTCTGCCTAAGTCTTCTCTGAGCCAAACACCCACAGAGTCTTTAATTATTCCTTACAGGTCAATTTCAAGTTTGTTTACCAGCCCAATTGTTCCCTTTTGGACCTCCTCCAGCCTGTTAATGTCCCTCTTGAAATGCAGGACCTACAACTGAATATAATAAATTAGCCAAGATGTGAAGTATAGCCCACATCCGGTATTTCCTGCATTCCTGACTCAGTCTTCAGATTTTTCTGAAGTTCTTAAGAATTATTAGGTTAAACTTAGGTTGGCATAAGATTTTAGTGCAGATTATTTGAACCTTATTTTTCTTTGTAATAATTGCTAACATACTCAGTAGTTCCTCTGTGCCTGGCACTGCAATTCTCACTTGATACATATTTTCTTGCTTCGCCCAACAGTTCTAGAAAGTATCCCTATTATTACCTTTATTTAACTGATAAGGAAACAAATTTGAAAGTGTTAAATGATCACACAGCTAATAAATCAGAACCAGCTAATAAATGGCAGAATCAGATTTGAGTCCACCATGCTATCCTACCCCCCATTTCGAGCATTTAGGGAATGCTTACAAAATGTAAGTACTTTGAGGGATTAAAAAAAAATGAATATGACACAGGCAGAAGACATATGCAGGGCAATTTAACAGAAAAGGAAATGCAAAGCACGAAGCGATGTTGGGCTTCTGAACAATCTGTTACTAAGAGCTCTTTCTCCCCTCCAGCACGTTCCAATGTCTACAATTTCATGGGCAATGTGAGTCAGCGGAGAAAAAGGGAAAAAGTGGAAGCAGTCACCCCTCTCCTTTTCAACTTTTACTTACTTGCCGTTGCCTTCAGCCCTTGCCCCTAGCACACTGCCTTATGAAGAATTAATTTTCAATGAGAGCCAAGTTGCTGGTCCTGGGGGATGGGGAGGGGCTCCTTCACTCTGCTACGGCCTTTCTGTCTCAGAAATATTTCTAGCTTTGACTCAGCAATTTTGCTTCTAGGACATGAACAGAGGTTTGTGACCAAGGGGGTTTTTCCAGCATAATTTATGATAGCTAAAAATTGAAAATAATATAAACGCCTATCAACTGTGGGAGAGCAAAATGAATACTAATTTTAAATGACTGCATATGCCAGCCACACACTGGCATATGCACTCATTTAAAATTGTGTTTCTAAAGGTTTAATAGCAATAGAAAATGCTCATTTAGAATCTTCAGTCAAAAAAAAAAAGAGGAAACAACACTGATTATAATCTGTAGAGGAAAAAAATCCTGGAAGAAATTTAGCAATATGTCAACAGTAGATATCTAGATAATGCGATTCCCAGGTGGGTTTTCATTTTTTTCCTTGAACCCCATTGTGTTTTTCCAATGTGCATTTTTTGCTTTAATCATCAGAGGAATTTTTTTTTTTTTTTTTTTTTTTATGGTTGAAACATTTTGAATCTGATGAAAAGTAACTGTTTACTCTCCACAATTTTTTTTTTTTTTTTTTTTTTTTAAGAATTGAAAGAATCTGGTCTGAGGGCAACCAGCCAACTTGTGAAAAATAGTTTTTGCCACTGGACAGTTTCCATATGTGCAGCAGCAATTACTACTCTGTTACTATCGGATCATCTTAATCCTATTGATTGAAATGCCAAAGTAATGCTATTAATTTACTACATAACAGATAAATTACTAAGAGCATAGTAGAACTACCTGAGATTGCTGTGGTACTCTTCTAGGGTCAGAGTGGGTGGCCCTTCTAGATTCTAATATAAAGCACAAAAAGCTTCTGGAAGTTCATATATTCATCCCCCATCACAAAGCCTAGATCCACCAACTCTCTTTGAAGCCATAAAAATTGTATTGAACATGTACACTGTGCCATGCACCAAAGTAAGCACTGTAAAAAAATGCTTATTCCTTACAAAAACCTTATGAGCAACAACCCTCATTTTACAGATGCAGAAACAAAGATTTAGACAGAAAAAGGAACTTGCCCAAGGTCACACAGCTAGTAAAAGCCAGAGCCTGGATTTGATGCCAGAGTCTATGTGCTTAGCCCTGGAGCATGCCCTGTTTCAGCCAGAAAACAAGTTCTTATGCTTTCTTCCACATTATTTTAAATAGTAATTTAAAAGTTAGAACAGGAGCTATCTACACACTACGGATGAGGAAGCTGAAGGTTACACGTAATAAAGGACTTGCCCCAGATCATACAAGGAAGAATTGCAACAGGTAGAATTCTGCAAACCAGAATCTCTGACTCCACATCCACAGCTTGTTGCATTTCCAAGGTTGCTTCTCTTTGCCTCTGAGACATGCAACAAGTGGCAGAAGGCAGTGGGACTCAGGACCCCATTTGGTCCCCCTGTGCGTTAGAAAGAGGTGACCTGCTGGAGGATCTTGAAGGTACAGGGTAAAAAGGACAGAAATCCCAAGAAGAGAAGAAAACCTCAGCAAGGACCCTAGAGCTCCTTTATCCTGAAAGGATAAAGGGGCATTGGCCACAAAGCCTTGTCGTTTCTTCGTCATCCATCACTCTTCCTTCTACCTCATTAAGTCCCACAGGGTGTCAATGATACTTTTCCTGAATTCTCCTAAGTGAATATTCCTTCTAGAAGGTTATACTAAACCACAGAAGAGTAGAAACTTAAAATCATGCATATTTGAATTGAGTGAGCTGTTTTAGCAGATTTGAACAGCGGCTCCAAAACCTATGCCAAAATTTCACCTCAATTAGATTTATGTATCAGCTCTGCCACTAACTCACCTTGATTAAGTCTATCAATCTCCCCAAGTCTCAGTTTTCTCATCTGAAAAATAGAAAAGGAAATGTTTGATGCTTCATAAAGTTGTTGGGAAGATTAGAACGCCCGTATGGAACAGTTCTTAACTTGTGGATGGCACCTAGAAAGTATTTGGTCATTGGCAGTAGCCTTTGCTATTCTCAGTTAATCTCTGAGTCAGTTTTCTTATCTATAAAATGGAGATGATAGTCTTGCAGGGGTATAATATACATTTATTAATTTATAGCAGGTGATCAGTGAATGTCTTTTTTAATGCACAGGATGACCAGGTCTCATAATTCTATGACTCTGCTACTCACTTCTTGCCCAAGACTTTGGAACCTGCTGAGTGAAACAAAGAAGTTTCACCCCGCTGAGCAAAGCTGCAGCTCTGACTCTGTCTTAAAGGATTCAGGGGAATCAACAAAGGCTATTTAGAGAGCATTATTAGAGCCCTGGAGCGTCCCTAAAACTCTGTATTTACATGCAAATACCCACTTCAGCTAAACCCTATCAACTCACAGTTAAGTGTTCACTTTCTGAAGACCAGTCACTCCATTTATTAAAGGCAGCTTCAGGTTTTAATCCAAATTGCCCTTTCTACAATTTAAAATCATTTCTTCCTCAGTGCCTAGTAAGGATTGTTTATTTTCTGAACATCCTCCTTTGAATCATAGTCTTTGGATGCTTGAAGACCACACACATCCAAGCTCCACTCCTATGAAACCTCTGTTTTCTCTGGGATAAATACTACAGTTTTGCTGATGCATTTCCTATGGGTTCACTGCAACTTGGCTTTTTTTTTCCACTATGAGTTTGAACTAGTATAGACTTGGAAGGGAAAAGTGGTATGGTTTTTTCTAAAGGCCCTGGATATTAAAGCACTTATTTGTTCTCACATAAGTTTTCCTCTACTAGTTTGAGAGCCCCTGGAAAGCAACGGCTATTGCACATTCATCACTGATATAGTTAAGAGAGAAGTCTGTAAGGTCAGGTGAACCTGGATAAATTATTTAATCTCTATGGACCTCACTTTTCTCATCAGAAAAACAGAGGTAATTATACCCCAACTCAAAGGGTTATTTTGGGGATTAAGTATTGCAAATAAAGCTTTTGGTGTAAAGCCTACTACAGTACTTTATAGCCACTCAATTAGGGCTGGCTGTTGTTATTTTATTTGCAACCTCCTCTAACACCTAGTACAATCTCTGACAATGTAATAGGCGCTTCCTAATTATTTTAAGTAAATAAGTAAATGAAATAATAAACTAATGTGATCTAAAATGAGATTATCAGTACCTAAAAGTACCTAATGAATAAAGTTGACTAACCTGAGAAATGAGAGTTTATTTCCACAGCATCTGTAAAAGTACTGTGGCCTTCTGCCATTCAAACACCTGCAGTTGGTAAAGGCAGGTACTATTTTCAAGATGAGTGAACTGAGAAAAAGGCAAAACAAAAGGCAAGTTGACTACAGATCAAGTGTGATAGAAATGATGTAATAAACAGTCAAGAAGGTTTTTCCATATCATGACTGGTTCTGGGGAATGGCCAAGTAGTCAAGCAGAGGATAACCCAGACCAGACCTGGAGCCCTCCAGTTATGTTATGGTTCTACCATCTGAGACTGAGCAGGCCTCCTACCTCTCAATTGAGCCTCGCTGTCATCACCTGGACATGGAGATGCTGTCACAGGGCAGATGTGAGGATCAAATGTAGTGATGGATTTAGAAGTGCCATAAAAACTGAAAGTGTTACATGAGTGCAAGTGATTATCAATTACATTGTTCCCAACCCATACTTTTCAATTCCCAGAGCTCTAAAATTCCCAGTTTTAATTCCAGAGTTATGAGGAAACAGTTATATCATGAACCAGAGAGGCTCCTCAGAGGGACTCTGCAAATCACTGTCACTCGGAAGGGTCAATATATTATAGTGATTAATACCATGGGCTTCAGAGACCAGTTGTCTCATGGGGCTACCATTTACAAACTGCATAACCTCAGGTAAATTTTCTGAAAATGAAAGTGTCAGCTTCCTCATCTGTAAAAAGGGGATAATGATGTCATCTTCATGGTATTGAGAAGAGATTAAATACAGTTAAATATGTGAAGTATCAATGAATGATAGCCATTACTGTCATTAGCTAATATCATGTCTTCATCTGTTTTTATCCTGTTGCTATGTCTCCTCAATATCTATACTCCCAGGCCTTTGCAACCTCAAATGACCAATGCCTGCTGATTAATGCAATCTTTTTTCCTAAAACTTTCTGTCCAGAAGCCTGGGCTCCATTCTGTACAAAGGCACATTTCTCCAGTGAGATTTATCTGATTAAAAAAAAGGCTGCATTGAAGGTAATGAGAGCCATTTGCTCTTCTGTCCAACTCGTGGGATGCATGCTGATTATGTAGGGCCTGCTAAGAGCTTTCCCTCAGTCAGAGTAAACCCAAAAGGCCTGTTCTTCCACACTCAAGCCTCTGAAGAATCCCCCTGGATTCTTCACACTGTAACTCATCTGAGGGCCACTTGATGCCCCCAGGCTTAAGCCAAGCATTCTTTCACCATAGGACCAGACTGCAGAATAACACTGAAAGTCAGAGGCATGGGAAAATTTTTCCGAGTAAGACACATAGACACAGTTGGGGCAAAGTGAGATGGTTGTGGTAGAATTATAAATAGGGACATAAGGAAGCAGGAATGTAGGGTTTATGTGTAAACATAGGTTTGACCTAGGCCAGTGGTCCAAGACATTTCGTGTGAATACCACTGAAAGAAATGACTTTTTCTCTTATTTTTCTGCCTTGTATTTTCCCTGAGGACATTAAATATTTTCCCAAGGGGCTGACTAAGAGTATCAGGGCCAGAGTTTAGGACTCTTTGGACTCCAGTCAAATCCTATCACTGATGCCAAATAATGCTGCACAGCTAAATTAAGCTTCCTCTGGAATTTCAGGTATAGATCATCCATTTAACAAATATTTATTGAGCTCTGACTGTGTGCCAGGCTCTTCGTGAAAACCATGTTTATTGAGAGCCTGAAGAGACATTTGTGAAAATCATGATTTCAGGGTTTTGTCTATATAACACCTTGATGGCCCCAATTCTGAGAAAAAAGAAGGTTACAGAGCTGAAAGTTTGGCTTGAACCAGAAAAGACCAGGGCTGTCCTGACTCCAGGCTTCACACATGCGCATAGAGTAAGGAAGATGAGAAAAAAGAAAACGTCAAATGCAGTGTGGAATGGCAGAGCTGGAGAGATCAAGTCACAAGCCACAAAATTGATTAAGCCTCACTTTTCTCACCTGTAAAATGGGGACAGGCATCCCTGCCTCTCAGGCTGTTTGGAGGATTAAACGGGATAAAATATGTAATGTGCAATTCAGAGTCCACATTAGGAACAGCAGGTGCTCAATTAATGTCATTTCTTGCCACCAAACAAGAAAAAAAAGAAACTTTTTGAAAATAAAGTGGGATGCCATAAGAGGTAAAGAGACCCCCTCATCAGGTGAATAGATTTGATAATCTACAGGAAATCTCACCCTATAGACCAGGCTGAGGGATTTAGGATGTTGTAGCAGGGCCAGGACTAGAGTGAAGCAGGTGAGGCACAAAATTTAAGGAGGTGCTCACTCTCTGGTTCC